TATTTTACAAACGTGATTGCTATTTTTTATGGTAGAGGACTGAGAAAACTTGACGGAAGGTAAAATGTCCGGGGCCGTATAATATTGATCACGTTTGGCTTTAGATAATCGTAAATCTACAGACTGAAATCGAAACGCGATTAAACAAATTAAAATCTTTTTCAGTTATGGACGGTGGTTCGTAAGCAGCACGGAATTGAGATATTCCCACCAACTATTTAATATCCAGATTTGTCCAACATATTTCGGACAAAATATGATAAATTGATAGAACATCTTGGGCCCGGTGTAGTTGGAACCCACGATCAGTTAATTATTAGCCATGCTTTGCTGCCATTAGAACAACAAACCCCTGAAAAAAATACATTGAAAGAGAAATATCATATATTGTTACTTACTAGCTTTAACAATGAGGTTATTTAAAACTAGATGCGTTACAGTAGGCTTGTTTTAAGTTTAACATTTGAAACATAAATTTAAAAGTATTACCAGTGAATATGAACATTATGTGAATATAAAGATGTTACAGACTTGAAAGGATGAATGGTCGCTTATATTTTCGAAAGTAAAGATTTAAATGAAAAATTCATTATAAATTGAATTGTAAGGTTGAAATTACATTGCGCAAGAGTATATGTTATGATAGAGTAAAAGCGCGGAACATAGTAGATGCCGGTTCAAGTCCTACCCGCGTCGCAAATTTTAGATTTATTTAGTTCCATTATGTACACTTGAAACATATAAATGTTTTCAAGTTAACATTTCCTTGCAATTTCTAACAGCGTTTAACGAGAAAAACTAGTATCAAAATAGAGGTAAGCGGGTTAGTTCTGATAAATCGCACTTCCTAGAGCGAAGGCCAATTATTAAGATGGATAGCGCCAGCGGGTGCGCGACGTAATATCTACTGAATTTTAGATTATTACTGTCTGCCCGGCGGAGGGAACGTGTGTTAACTCGATATTGAAAGAAAAACTTTACAGTGTTCGCGAAAATAAATGCTGGTTTAGATTCCTCTTTAGTTTGTATATATATTTAAATTAAGAATGATTTGACTTTAATAAAAAATAAGACACTACAGATTTTTCGAAAATTTTCGAATATTCGAAAACTTTAATATTTTTCACATGTTGTTCCGTGCTGTGCTATCAAGTTGAGACTCGATAGCTCAATTGGTAGAGCAACAGCACGGAACGCTGACGATGCCGGTTCAAGTCCGGCCCGAGTCAAATTTTTATCGATTTTTAAATTTTCTGATATTAAAACCAAAATTGATTGACAGCGCAGCTTGTTCAGATGTTTGTCGTCCACTAACATAAGAAAATTTTTAACTTAACTATGAGTCCTTAGTCAGACAACCCGGGAAACGTAAGTTATATTTTCGATCGAGTACCTATGGTACCAAATTAATTCTCTTATGAACAAAATCGATTAGAGAAGACAGAAATATATGTCAGCCTTGACCTTGTAGGGAAACTATATGTCATTATCAAAGTAGTAATAAATTATTTTAATGTATTTTAGTCCTTAGACTTTATTGTTTAAACAAATATTTTTTTTTTAATTGAAATGAATGTATTTATTTTTTTATAATTTTTAATTTTCTCACGTCTCTCTAAATTTTTTTCTCTTTATTTTTAGGTTGCCAGGAAGTGATCGCATGCTAGCGACAAAGCGGCCAGTTTAGAATGTAAGTTTTATTTGTATAATTTTATTTATGTAACATCGTTTCTAAAACTTTAATATTTGGCACATTATTTAAATTAAAAATATATCTCAAACGGCGGGACTTGAACCGAGAACATTATGAAGCCGGTTTAAGTCCCGCCCGTGTCATAATATTTTTTTTAATCCTTATAGCAATATATAATTGCAAGTATATTATATATATATATATATATATATAATATACTTGCAATTAATATTAAAGTTCTCCTAGTTTAGTCAATAAAAAACATAATAGTTAATAAATAGGCGAGTTAAGTAATACTTTAAAACGATTTATTATTTCATTGCATATATAACATGCTCGAATTGAGTATATTTCAATTTAAACGAAGTAATTGCTTGTTAAGAGCTGTTTAACATACTAAATATCCTTTGATTTATACACGCATTAATTATTATTGAAATAGCAGGGAAAATGATTTAACTATTATTTGACTACGGTAAAATCACGCGCCGTATGTTAATAAATTGATGAAATGTTCTCACCTGTTGGTACACTTGTATTTACAACATTTAGTTTCCTATATGTATTTTGAGTTCGATTATATGAATTACATGATTTTAAAAAAATATTACGCTTTTTATATTACGCTATTACGCTCAAGAAACTAAGTAAAATACACACATAAAACTATCTATTTAAATAATACAATCCTATAACACAATTTGCTTTCTGTTGCGTTTTTTTACTTTTTGACCACCAAATTAACAGATTTGACTGTAACATTAGTGACACCTTCCATTTTCAGTCCCCTCGCGACCACTTGCTGTAAAGCATTCAAACATTCACGTCCATCCGTAGTTAAAATGATTTCTAAAGTTTAACTAATATATTTCGCGTTTTAAACCGTTAAAAGTATTTTAATTTAAGGCGTTCAACTCGATTGAAGCCTTAAATTAAAACACTTTTAACGGTTTAAAACACGAGTAAACAACAGGAATCTTTTTTTATTCTTAGCAATTCTTTTAGCCACCAAAAGACATAAAACGCCATTAAGCGGACAAACAAAACTCAATACTTCACCTGTTTCATATATATATAGCCTAAATATGTATTATATTCCCAATATTGGATTTCTCCTTACAATTGCTGTCTATTGACGGGCTAAATCCACTTCAGTGTATTGATTAAAAGTATATAAACCATACAACAAGGAATAAACAGAACATATAGCTATTGTTGTATTGTTAGACTGCGAAATAGATTTGTTTATATGTTTTTTTTTTCCTTAGAATAGAACTGTTAAATCAATGTTTGACTCATTTTTACATCCACTTACGAGCTACTTCACTCACACTTTAATTGGCATGAAAGGGAATAGAAAAATACAAATTTAGCCACATAAAGAGACCACAAGAACTGGAACACGACGGGCGACGGGCTCGTTGGTCTAATGGTAATGTATAATCAACGGGTCTTAGGTTCGATTCCCATCGGGTTCTAATTTTTAAATTTATAATTCTCCTGACACTCTGTTATATACTACACTAACGCGCCAGGAAAAAAAACACAGCGCAAGGATCGCCCTACGGTTTTAAATAATCTAATCTAGTGAATGATTTGTGTGGCAACGCGAAAAATATTTTATTCTCGCCGGGGTTAGTGCAGTTCAATTCTGTATCGGACGCGGGGCTGACTGGAATGTGAAATAGGGACTGTGCGATAAGCGGGACAGATATAATAATATATACTGGTGCATGTGGTTGACATATAGTTCATAGTATTTAATTATTGAAAGCAATTAAAGTTATGTCCTAGTGGAGGAACATTGGCGAGACTCGAAGCCACGACTCTATTTATAACTAGCTGTGTCAGCGACTTCGTCCGCGTAGAATAGTTAATTTGGGCGTTAAATTTGTTTTTTCAAACCCTTTCATGTTTAAAAACTTTCCCGTGCGCGGCCCGTTCGTTCTTGCAAGTTCATCTTAAAATATATATAGCGTTTTTTTAGATCATTTAAAGAGGAATCATAATAATATAAAAATAAATATTTTTTTAATTCGAACCCGTAGTTCATGAGATTAGCGCGTTCAAACAAACAAACTCTTCAGCTTTATATATTAGTATAGATTTTATATTGGGATAAAAATTGATTTTAGATCGACCAAAAATTACGACACGCGCAGCTCTAACCAATCAAGGTACATCTTATCGTATCGTACCTTACACGTCAACGTCGAATTTTTTCAACCTATTGATACATGCATCTCTCGTGTCGCAAATGAAAATAGTATACCTTGTTGAGATGTTATATGGCTGAGGTATCACATTCCATCAAGTAACCCCATGCTTTTCTGTCCTCCTCTTTCTTAATATGAATCTATATATGCCTTCTTTATATATTATTCCACTTATGCACGTCTTTTTGCCTTCGGAGTAAATCTTAAAATAATTCGCGGAATAACAAAGCCAACCAGCGAACCTCTCTTGGCATATACCACGCACGCATTTGAAAAGGTATCCCCGCAAACATATTTCACGTGATATTTCGCGCCCTAATAGACTAGTATTATTCGAGGTTGTACCGAAATCGGAAGTATTTCGGCTGCAGTTGAAACATATTTCTTAAATCGTAACACATTGTAACTACTGTGTATCATCTATCCAACACCAATGATCAATTAGTTCAAAAATATTCACAATATACGAAAAATCATTTGAATTAGGGTGATACTTCTTATTTTTCTTAATATAGAAGACAAAAAATACATGAATTCTCTATGAGTAGTACACAATTAATTTAAAAATCGAAAATAAATTTCGACTCGCGTAGAAATGCTATTGCTCTACCAATTCAGCTACCGAGTCACTGGTACCGGTAACGGTGACTCGGTACTTAGCCACTTCACTTAAATTACTGCGATAAATCTAACGTCTTTATAAATCAAAAACAATAACTCGTGTTAAAATTCTTAAGTCAATGCACGACAATTTACACAATATCATCTGGTATATTACTCATACTAAGAATTTAGACACCTGCTAATTTATCAATATTGAGACAAATTGTTCTTAATTTTTTTTACTGTTAACGTATGTATACTCGTCAGCGGCTGTGTGGCTCAGTACTTAAGTAGAATGTCATATATTAACAGGGATTCTGGGTTCCAATTACAATCCTTGTCTATTGGGGCAGGGCGCAGAAGTGTGATCGACTACTTATCTATAAATAAAAATACGAACAGTGAAATGTATATAGATATATTTTCACCATATCCCACAGGGTGAAGATGGATTTCAATACATATGTATATGTTTTAATTTTAAAACATTATTTCAATTTTACAATGCGTATATTATGATCTTCCTTTATCATATCAGCGCCCTTTTCAGCCATCATTATTGTAGGCGCATTTGTATTACCTCGGATGATTTTTGACATCGTAGACGAGTCAATTACTCTCAATCTCTTGACTTTATGTACCCTGAATCTCGGATCAACTACTGCATCTTTATCATACGCTGGTCCCATTTTGCATGTACCAACTGGATGAGCTATAGTAGTCGTGTAATCTGTGAAGAGACAAGCAATATACGCGTCCGTTCCCCATGCGTATTGCTCACATCCTTTTAAAGGGAGTTTGTAATAAGAGATGCCACTATCTCTAAAAATTTGTGTATCTTCTAAGCGAATAACAAATTTCGTAGCGTTCACTAAATACTCTAAGTCTTGTGGCTTTTGAAATATACCCGAATTAATAATAGGAGGTCCGAAAATAGGATCGGTTCGGTTTAGTAAAATGACACCTCTGCTTTGAGGTGTTAATAATATGGGACGCACTGCAACTGCATCAAAGTAGGAAAACGGAAATATATTAGTTGCAATGTAAGTTTCTGGGTCGATAACGAAATCTTCAAGACGTCTAGAGTCAAAGTGAAATTGTATGTTTGGGGCGTCATTCTTTGTTCCATTTGTGTTATAGTAAGCAACACTATTGACAATAGATGTCGTTGCCAGGGGACCGTTTTTCTTCTCAGGTTGTTTATAATAATTCAAAACATCCCGAAGTAGTTGAAAATTACTAGTTAAAGTTGAAGTATTGTTTGAAAGAGAAAACAATAAACCATCTGTAGTGACATGATCTTGAAGATTGTAACCAACTCTTAAATTAGCTATAACAGGAATATTAAGGCTTTCTAGCTCTTCACGAGGACCTATACCAGAAACTTTCAATAATTTAGGTGAATCAATAGACCCTGCACTGATAATTACTTCTTTTCTTGCGTAAGCTTGATATTTCTTTCCATCCTTATAATATTCTATGCCGTGAGCTTCATTTTTGTCTATTTTCATTAGTATTTTAGTGGCAAGTGCATTGGTAATGATGTGAAGGTTTTTTCTTTCCCGTCGTATAGGTTCGATGAAAGCCACATTTGTGGATTGCCTTTTACCATCTTTAGAAGTAGTAAGATTTATATCTACACCTACTTTACTCTCCAGACCCAGATCTTTGAGCGGTATACCCATTTCTTGGAAAGCTTCTACTATAATTTTTGATGGCTCGTCGGTATATTGAAATCTTTCTACATTTAAAGGCCCTCTAATCCCGTGAAGTCTTTTACTATATATAGGTCCGCGAAGAGAAATTGATTTTTCAAAATAGGGTAAAACCTATAAGAATAATTATTTTTTCATATGCAGAAATTGTTTTGTAAATAAGATATATGTATATTGTAATAACCTAACAGTACGATGTAAAAATAGCTGATAAGAGTATTTCCTATTTTGATAGACGTATTACGTTTTACCGAAGGTTATAAAATTACTTTCGATTATTTACAAAAGAGAGGACAACTATAGCATATATTAAACTATGAAAATAAAATAGGCACCTACTTCTTTGTAACTCCATCCTTCGTTACCATCGGCAGCCCAATCATCATAATCGACTCTATGGCCTCTCATGTAAGTCATGTAGTTAATTGCACTTGATCCTCCCATAGTTTTTCCTCTATAAAACAACGGAACTAAAAAATACTATATCATTTTTAAAATAACATATTTCTTCAAACTCACCTCGGCCACACACATATTTGATCCTTCTGCTGTAGGCAGGTCACATTATCTGGCTCTGTTTTGTATGCCCAATCAATATTCGAGTTAATAAGTACAGCTGCGGCGGCTGGAATACTGGTAACATTTGGTTCTTCCTCGCCCGCCTCGAGAAGTAGAATCTTGAACGAAAAATCTATTTAAGTTTAATTAAATGTTTGTTACATTTATAATGAGTATTATATCAGCGACTAATTATACTTTGTTCGTTGACTCCGACATTACATAAACACAACTGATAACGTTTGTATCATCTTAAAACACTTACTTGCCAATTTTCTATTTCAGATAGTCTATTTGCAAGTACACACCCTGCCGAGCCGGCACCAACAATAATGAAGTCGTAAATAAATCTGACGTCATCTGTAGATTTTTTCTTAAAATCCGGCATATTGTCGCTATGATCATTATTTTTTAAATCATCAGAGGTATATAGAGAAGAGTAGGTATTTTGTCTCGGATCTTCGTCAAACATGGGCTTCCCAAAAAGTTGCGCTAATAAGGCCAAATAAGCGAATCCGATGGGAGCACATTGTGTTAGATTTCCCTGAGCCGTCGTACACAGCGGAGCTATATCCGGCGGTATCCACGTCATTCTTCCTTGGTATTTAACTTGTTAATATTTTTCTTATCATTCATGGAACACGAAGTGATGTGAGTAAATAGCGCTCATTCGTTATCGATCGCTAGTCGTTGTAATATGCATAATTTGTTCAAGTGTTTTATTGTCTGCTACAATATTCAAAATTCAACAATATCCATTGTTGAATTTTGTGTTTTTTTTATTTCGTTTCAGCAAATACATAATTTTTGTCAGGAATTTCAAATTACTTAATATTATCATAGTTTATTAACACTAAATACAAAAATGTTTAATATTTCGCATGTTATTTTGCACATGATGTCACTATATAAATTAAAACTAATTGCGCGAGAGTTATATTTATCAATAGGTTGAAAAAATTTGACGATGACGCGCAGGACGCCATACCGCAATTGGTTAGACCAATAGAACGGAAAGCTGACGATGCCGGCTCAAGGCCTGCCCGAGTCGTAATAGTTTTTAATTAAAACGCACTTTCACAATAGTTCATAAACACTTATTCCCACGATTTACCAGAAGTACTTAAAATAAAAATCTGCACGATTTGAGGAAATAATTAGTGTCTGGCGGCACGGCCAATTAACCTTACCTTTATTTTTAATATTTATAATATATTAAATTTAGGATTTGGCTTCAAAAAATTTTAAGATTTTATAATAAGACATTTATTCTGAGATTTACAACCAGTAAGACAATTTACTTAGAAAAGCTTAGCCTCTCTGGAAGTAAGCAATACTATATGCATACTATAAATTAAAGCGCTGCCTTGCCATTCTTTGAATAAATAGTATTTATCATCTACTCACACATTCCATATTGTACTATAAATAACTACACAACATAACAATTAACAAATAACAGTAGCGATATAACATAATTATTAACAATACTAACAAATAACAACCTGGATTTAATACGTTTATTCAAATTCTGTATTCTTTGTTATGATGCTGCTGACACAGAGTAGCCTAATTACAAAAAACGTGATTTTCAATAAGGAGGAATATAAAAATGCGCAATTAATTTACGCGAAAATGAATTTGGACTATTATTTGTGTAAACATTAGTTAACAATATTCGGGCACGCTCTTGCAGATTAACATTATGGACTATGAAAATATATAAACTCAAGTCATAGAATTGCAGTTAGGCTTAAGCACCCACTAATATTCATATATTAGTAGGTACTTCGTTCTCTTTTTTACAATGGAGGAGTTATGCGTTATTATTATACGTTACGTTAGTTATTATACGTTAAATACTGTATCCATATAAATCTTAACAAGATGCGCAGCCGATTATATTTTAGCTTTGAATTTTGGGAAATCCACAAACTTACACCGAAACGCGATTTAACTTCACAACTTCGGTTTTGATTCGAGATCTGGACGTTATTTGACCATATCAAGGAAACCTTTAAAATCTTCTTATAAGCTAAGATAGAAAATATGTTAAAACTTAAATCTCAGCTTCTGTTATCTTCTTTTATTATACCACTTCCTTTCTCAGCCATCATTATAGTAGGTGCATTAGTGTTGCCACGCGTTATATTAGGCATAGTGGATGAATCAATTACCCTCAACCTTTCAACGCCGTACACATTAAACCTTGGATCAACGACTGCTTCTTTGTCCCAAGCAGGTCCCATTTTACACGTCCCAACTGGATGGTAAATCGTTGCTGTGTGATGTGTCAGAAGACAGACAAAGTATTCAGATGTACCCCATTCGTATTCAGTGCATCCTTCAAGAGGTATTTTCACAAAAGAGAGGCCAAAATGTTTGAAAATATGGGTGTCTTCTAAACTTACAGCAAACAGAATGCCAGCGATTAACGTGTCTATGTCTTCTTGGTATTGAAAAAATCCTGGATAAATTAATGGCGGGCCAAATACTGGATCCGTTTTATTTAATAAAACAACTCCTCTACTTCTGGGGGTTAGAAGCAGCGCACGTGCTCCAACCCCATTGTATTGCGATAAAGGCAATATGTTTGACGCCATGTAACTTGCTGGGTCTGCATAGTAATCATCAACACGTCTGCCATCGAAATGAAACTGTATATTTGGAGGACCATTAAGTGATCCATTTGTATTTATAAAGGCAATAGCATTTATGATACTGGTAGTTGATAGAGGGCCATATTTGATCTTTGGTTGGTTATAGTAGTCTTGAACGTCTTCAAGAAGCTCATCTTCATTTGCCAGGGTTGATATTTCATTCGGAAATGAAATTATTAAACCATCAGTGGTTACATGATCTTGAAGATTATGGCCAACTCTTAAGTCAGCGATTACAGGAATATTCAGACTTTCCAATTCGTCTTGAGGGCCTATACCCGATACTTTAAGAAGTTTTGGTGAATTAATAGAACCTGCGCTGATAATCACTTCTCTTCTTGCGTATGCTTCATAAAACTTGCCATCTTTGTAATACTCAATACCATAAGCTTCTTTTTGTAAAGGGTCTATCAGTATTTTAGTAGCTTGTGCCTTCGTAATGATACGTAAGTTTTGCCGTTTCTTTCGAATTGGTTTTATGAAAGCAGCATTCGTAGATTGTCTTTTGCCTGCCTTAGAAGTTGAGAGGTTTATATCGGCACCCACTCTAGTTTCTAGTCCTAATTCTAATCGCGGTATACCTTTTTCATTGAATGCCGTAGAAATAATTTTCGTGGCCTCATCGACATACGCGAATTTTTCCACGTTTAAGTATCCTTCAGGTCGATAATACTTGTCATTCTCAAAAAATTTAAAACGTTGATTGCCGATTGCTTTTTCGAAGTATGGCAATACCTGAAAACAAATGAGGTTGAAATAAGAACACATATATCCCAAGATATTCTTTTACATTAAATTAAAATTAGGTACTTCTTTATAGCTCCACCCAACGTTACCATCAGCAGCCCATCCATCATAATCGTATCTGCTCCCTCGCATATACACCATGTAATTAATTGAACTGGATCCGCCCATAGTTTTGCCTCTAAAACAAAAACACGGATTATTCCTACTTCATGCGAAACCTGAAAGAAGTTTGTTCAGAATCAGTAGCAGAATCCATTCCAATAGTTTTTATATCACGTTATATTTTTTTCAAAATAATATGAAATTTTTGAAATCCTGGACACCGTTCGATAAACAAATTTCTACATAAGTATAACTCAATAGGTATAAAAATTCGGGGAAGCCGCAGCGGGCGCTCGTCGCTTTGAACTAACCGTTACAGCGCGCGCGGGCCCCCCGCTCTCAGTCTTTAGTCTAGAGTCAGTGCGTGCGCAACCCTTTCGCGGTGATTACGTAACAACTTTCTTCCGAATTGCAAGCAAGCGATTGCGCATCCCACGGGCGTCTCGTCGTTTCGCGGTGTTTTTTTAAGTGTGTTAATTACAGACATGTCTTACAATTATACCAATAATAATAATGTGGAAAGGTAACAAATAATGTTGCCGAAGCAATGAGACGTTATCATGAACAATTTGGCATCTTGGTATCATGGAACATAATGCTGAGCGTTACGCAGCGCTTACGAGACCATAGCCAGTTCAGACCAGACGCATTAGACAGAGACAAGGAGGTTATTCAACGTTAGTCAGTCTTAGGTGTGGTGGACTTTAAGGAATTACCACCAATACCTTTATCATTTTAGACGAGCTCAAGAGCTGCTCGAAAATGATAAAGCCCAAAGATTCGATAAATTAGTGTAAATAATGGTGATTAAAATTTTCTCTTTGTCTCAATAATTAACGCTAGACTTACATGCCGTTTAACCATTCTTACAATCCAAAGCCTGTAAGTGTGATGGAAAATGTTATTGCCAAAAGTTCTGAATACATTCTGTGAGCGGACAATAAGTACATAAAAGTAGTGAATCGTGTAGTGTAAGGTGCAGGACGCGGAGCGGAGGAGAGGGAGGGGGTGCGAGATAGCGCGCTGCGTCGACGCCTGCTCAGTGACCATGTGGTTGCGGGATAAACAATAACATGAAAAAACTTCATAACTTCGTGAGTTTTCATTATTTTTTAATTTAGATTTTTTATCCGTGTTGCGGGATAAACAATAACATGAAAACAACATGTAAATTTAGTTAAACTAATCAAATCGCGTTTTAAACCGTTAAAGTGTTTTATTTAACTGTGTACTACTCGCGTAAACTATAAACAGTGTAAAATGTATATAATTCAACATTGTCTTTCACTAAGTCAACGCAAGAAGTACGTTTTTAATAAAACTATATAAACTGTTTTGTTTAGGCTTCATATTTTTACAATGCATAATGTACATAATATTGATGATATCTATGTATTATTATCTAGCTTAAGTTTATGCATGGTAAAAAAAGTTTAAAAAAAGAAAGAAATTTTTTGTAGCCCTGTACAAACAAATAGATTTATTTCACAGAAACACCTTTAATTACATGAATTGAATTTTTGTTTTAAATTACCTCATTTAACGGTGTATACCTAAACATTTATTTCTGATCCCCTCGCGACCGATGGTGTAAAGCATTCGGAATGTCGTTACCGAAGTTTAATTTTAGATTAACTAATATAATACATATTTTAAACCGTTATATTACTGTTATTGTTAATATAAGTTGTTCATTATAACTGTAGTGTTAATGTGTTAAATACATTACCTAAACCACACGCAGCGTTGATTTACTTGGGAGAGACAAGTCCTATTTTCGGGTTCAGTCACAAACCCCCAGTCTGCGCTAGAAGTAGCTAAGGCAGGGGCCGCAGCTGGTATTGAAGCTACACTTGGTTCTTCATCTCCAGCTTCTAGAAGGAGAATCTGTCAAACGTTAAGTGCTATTAATTCTTACCAGTTTATAATTATAATTATACATACATACTGTATCTCGACATTTGAAGGTCAAAATAATCTTATACTTTAAATTAAAACATTTTGCGTAAAATAATATCCTATATAACCGCTGTTTTTTTTTATTATCTTGATACTCTCAGTATAGTAAATATTGTGCAAAAATTGTGTAAGCACATTTTGGCAGCCACTGATTGCTTTAATCAGTGGCTGCCAAAATGTGCTGACAGATGAAGGCAGACAAATAATTCGAGGAATTGTCTAACGAACGCAATACTCACTCGCCACTTCTTTACTTCAGACAATCTATTTGCTAGGACACAGCCCGCAGAACCTGCTCCTACAATGATAAAGTCATAGGTGTTCCTTTCTCTTCTCTTGGCATAAGGATCAACTAGGTATTCAGAAGAAATTGAACTATCTGATATTTTAGAATATTCATTAGGATCCATACAGGATTCACCATTCAGTTTTGAACTTTGATCTTCGGTATTTCCAAATAAATGCGCCAGTAATGCAAGGTAAGAGAACCCTATAGTGCATTGTGCTAAATTAGCATGCGCCTGCGCACACGCCGGCGTTATGTCGGGTGGGGTCCACGCCATTTGATTGAAACGTCAGCACTCTGAAACAAATTTTAATTGACTAAGAAAACTTGTTACTTGTTACATTTATATCAACTACTAGAAGCGAAAACAAAAAAATAGAGACTATTGTTATACTTAGCCATTTTAGCACAACTGATATAGTACGTACGTATATTTAAAGTGCGATAATTGCGTTTTGTAATACGATTTAAATATGTTTTTATTTTGATCTAACATAAGCTATGTGTTCACTATATATTATATGGGGCATATTTTTATGACGGAAGCCAGTAGCCGGGGAAGACGAGCACGTTCAGATCACAGTATAATTTACTTTACAGTATTATAGGTTACAAAATGAAGGATATAAATAAATAAGTAAGGTTTTTTTTTTAAAATAAAATCACTCGTTTATGGATAAATCACTTATCTATACTACTATTATAAAGCTGAGGAGTTTGTTTGTTTGAACGGGCTAATCTCAGAAACTACTGGTTCGAATTAAAAAAAAAAAATTGTATGGATTAGATTTATGAAGCCTTAGGCTATATCACGCTGCAACACGGAGAGTAGAAACAGTAACACATGTGGAGTAAACGGGCGAAAATATTCGTCTTTGAGGACTTTCGATGCGAACGCTGCGAAAATGATACAAGATAGCCAAAAATATGTACAAAAGTATGAATCCTCTTTGAATAAACTAAAAGATGTCCGCGACAATTAATGAATAAGCGTACTTACATCGAATATAAAAGTAATAATAATACATACTTCTATTTTTCTATTTAATGTCTGAACACACTTATGTATTTGATACGTCTAATATAGCTTTAAATGTTGATTACAGTTACCATTGCCTTACATTTTAAAAAACGTTTTCTCCGTAAATGATGTAAACGACTGTATTAATTATTATCAAAAATCAATTAAAATATATAAAAATATTTTAAGTTATTCGGTAAACGCGAAAGAAGCATGTTCATTATTTAATATGTAAATATAAGATTGGTGTCTTAATTAAAGAAAAATGTATTACTCGCCCTAAATAATTAATGGTGTTTTCGCCGAGTTCAAACAACTTTGTTGCAGCATATCATTGTTTTTCGGGCTGTTAGGCCGGCGTAAGCGAGAAGAAAGTTCTCAACATTTCGCCATCACGAGAGGACGACATCATCAGTAGATGTTACCTCCACGTTTGCTGGACCAATTATTCGAGCCCGAAAAACAGTGATATGCTGAACGATGGCCGATGTAATAGTTAGAAAAGTTAAAAGGGGGAGGGGGACACATGATCATGGTTAGTTAAAATTAATTGTAAATAGGTTATAAGTAACTTGAAAACGAGAAATGTATTAAGGTACATTTCACATTTTGAACCGTTAAAAGTTCTTCATTTGAATGTGTACTCATGGAAACTACAGACAGTACTTACTGTATTTTTTTTAAACGTTGTGGATGTTTTGCAGTAGGTTTGTATGGATACGGTGGGATCGTCGTCCTGTGATGTAAGACTTTTTTAGTACAGCTGTCACCTACCTTTATTAAAGTATCCAGGAAGAATTATTGTCGGCAAGAAAAAGCCTCATTCTAAACTTCAAATAAAATTCGTTTTCACACATCTATATTTTTGTATATATATCTCAAAATATTCTTCACAAAAGCAGCGTGATAACTCCGCAATCTCACAGTCATTTATCAGAAAATGAATAGTTACTAAACAGTTTTATACTAAAATGCGATCCGAGTATTTCATTTAGTTAATTGTGGAAAAATCTCAATAATTGCTAGGTAGACGATTGCCCGCGATTCTTCTTTAGCGTTTTGTGGTCTTAATATTTTTTTACCTCAATTTAGTTACATTTTAAATTATGTTTAATTAAATTTTAATTTACTTTTAATTAAATTTTAATTTAGTTTTCATTTAATTTTAATCATCTTCTTTAATACTTTATAAAAATTCCAGCCTTTTAATTAAAAATCGATTTCAGATTAAAAAAAATTACGACACCGTTAAGACTTAAACCGGCACCCACAGCATTTTGTGCCGCTGCTAACCAACCAACTCTAACTAATTGAGCTACCGTGTCAGCCCTTTCTTCCTTTTTAGGACTCGAATACGAAGGGTTCCTTACTGTATGTGTATCTGTCTGTCATGACTTTAATATAAATTACATAAATAAATTAAATTAAAGTAAAATGTGATATTAAGAGTAAGTAAGTAAGTAAGAATTTGCCAAATGTATAAAATGTACTACTCGCGTAAACTATAGACAGTATTTAATAGTATAAAATGTGAAATTTGTGTGGTTAGTTAAAAATTACCCTCCTAAAAATCATTATATGATCAAGTACTGTTTGATTTTACTCGAGTACACTGGAATAATTCCCTATAAATGGTTTAAATTGGGAAATATTTTTATTTAATTTCTCTTAAATGTAGTGCATTTTTTTTATGAATGATGTAAAAATCTAAGGTTACTTGTTTTTAAAAAATATAATTACCCGAATTTTAAGATTGGTAAGTGCAACGCAGACACATCTGTGGCTGTTTTATTTACAGTCAAAAAGTTGATACCGGTGATCTGAATATACACTATTTATATTTTCCCAGGATTCTAACCAAGGGTCTCTCTCGCTTAACCGTTCGTCGTAGTATTATTAAATGACTTAAATGACAAAAATTGAGGCATTGTTCTCAGATTCTTTATTCAGGTTTTTGCGTAGAACAACAGCAGTAATTCGCATGTTAACTTATGAATAATAAATTATTAACGAGTTTTAATTGCCTCTTTTAGTAAAGCTGGTTGACCTGGTTACAGATCTTGCTAGGTCTAAAATTGTCTTTTTATAATAGAGGTGGACAAATAAGCAAGGGGTTTAAAACAAAAATAAAACACAGTTCCTTGCTGTTGCTCTAACCAATTGATCTAATCAATGTTTAATCGATTTTTAATCTATATAGTGTCGTCATGTGGAATCACATGTGAGAAATATTATAATTCATTCAAGTATTTAAATCAGACAAGGTCATATATATGTACAATTATACAAAAAAGAAATGTCGTTGAAACGTCGTCGGGCCGTAGTTAAAGATAATTTTCAAACAAGATTAACTAAAATATATCGCGTTTTAAACCGTTAAAGTGTTTTATTTAAATGTTTACTATTCGCGTAAACTATATACAGTATTTAATGTCGTTGAAAGTATAATCAGATAATAAATAATTATAACACTTAAGTAGTATTTTCATTTTTATAGGGGACATTTATCGAATTTGCTTTGCAAATAGATGATAAATAAATTAATTAACTTCACTTTTTATACTGATGTTTAAAACATTATTTTTATATCGAGCAAAACGTTAGACATCTGGTTAATAGAAATAGAAATAGAATAGAAATACGTTTATTCAGAAACAACACACAACAGTAAATAAAAAATTTCTAATAATCATGTATACCTACTACTTTTGTCCGTGTAAGGTTTATCATATTACTAGCGGCCCTGCCCCGGCTTCGCACGGGTAGACATAAATAAGTACAGATATTAAAATTATAAGCATACTAACTAAAATGACCATGAATCACTAAATTAAAAAAAAATGTATTTCGCGTCCTAGCTGTTAAAGACCTTTGTCTAACGCGCTGTGTCAGGAGCCGCCGCGAGCGTTCAGTGTTAGAGTTCCGTGCACGCGTTCGCGAAGTCCTAGCTCTATTTCCGTTGGTTTTCGTAAGAATTTTTATAGGTATCTATAGTAATCGAGTACTAAATAAAGGCTATGTTACTCAGTGATAATTTAGCTTACTAATTAAAAAATAATTATTAAAATCGGTCCAGTACTTTTTGAGTTTACCCGTTACATACAAAAATACAAATCTTTTCTCTTTATAATATTAGTATAGATTACTACTAATGCTTGTATTACTTTAGGCTAACCTCATCTTATTGGTCACATGAGTTCAGTAAGATATCCTAGAATATAGGGCGGTTGTATCTTAACCTAGAATAATAAATACAATCTATATTTTTTTAAGCAATGTATTTTTCCTTTACTGAAGTACTGTGTTTTCGTAGAAAACACAGTATATACAGACTTATATTTGTGGAATTACGAGCATTTGTTTATAATATAAACAAGTTAATAAGGAAGCAAAACTAAATAGTTTGTAATACGTAGTAGAAAGAATAATAATTAAGGTTATAAGTTAAAAAAAGTTACAAGGTCCGTAGTTGGTTAAATAAATAAAACAGCTAAATGCTTAAATGTCATCAGAGCTAAAAAAAATTAAATGTAACCTTTAACTATTATTGTGCCTAATTATCTTCCTTATGTCGTTTGCTATAATATAAGGCGCTTATTAAAACGAACAGTGTTTTCGTATTGTTTTATTTATTCTGTGTATACTATATCTATACTTAATATTATAAATGCGAAATTAAGTCTGTCTGTCTGTCGGTCCGGCTTTAACTCCGAAACTACTGATTTTGATAAAATTTGGTACACAGATATTTTAAAGCCTGAGAAAGAACATAAGCTATAGGCTTTTCAATGCCAAATAAGAGTTGATAGGGGTTGAAAAAGAGAATGAAAGTTTGTATGGAAATTGGTGGTTTTTAAAGCTAGAGCAATGAAACTTTCTTCTTTAGCTTTTTGGGAATAGGAGTAGGAGTGGGAGTGAGTGTAAGAATGTGAGTGGAAGTTAGAGTAGGAGTGATGTGAGGTGAGAGTGTTGCGGCAAAGTAAATGAATAAAGAGCTTAAATAATTAAAAATTCTACCTCAAGTCACTATTCCACGCGGACGAAGTCGTGGGCCAGCTAGTATATAATTTACAAGTAACACGAAGCACTTACCTTACGCAAACGTTCGCGCGTTACGAACGCTAATGCCGCTAGCGAGTGAAAAACGAGCAACGGCGATAAAAAGTTCGAAAAACGCCAAAAAATTCGCTTCGCCCTTGCAATACCAGGATTTGTGAATAGAAAAGAATGAGTCAGAAATGTTTCTATAATAACCCTTAATATTCCATTGTGTTATATAAATAATGATTTCGTAATAACGCACTTTGTTAGGCCGCCGGATGTGGAAGGATAAATTATCATACTTAGTTAGGAAAAGTAACATTTTCCTAAATTGTTTACGTCAATCACAAACTCGACGAGCTTAATATCTTTAGGACGCTAATAGGCAGTGAACACATTTTACGTTGACACCCGAATTAAATTATGTGCGTATGGTGTAGGGTGACATCTGTTTTGATTATCATGTATTTTATTATGAATAAGTTTATATTAAAACTAAAAAAGCCAATTACCGTGAAGTTTGTAAAATTATGTTTCCCCTGTGTGGACCACGGTCGAAACGGACACTTATGACCGCACGCTTAGTATTAGAGTGACCTAACTCAAAATCTATGTAAAATTAGATAAAGGCACTGACAATACTATAATAACGCCATCTATGAAATGATTCTGAGAAACTCACCAAAAATCTGCTCTTACAGTTTTTAGATCTCTTTCAAATTCACGAGTTTTATGACGTCGATCGACATAACACCGACTTATTCAGTGTGCATTCAATCGTTACAAGAACAACAGTGTGTATGTTTAACATAAAAGGGACCCATTAGTTTTTAAGGCCTTTTTATATTGAAATGAAAGGTAAGTTTCATACATATTTTTGGTTTTATACTCTTTACACGATGAAGCATTTTAATCCTAAAACTTAGATACATTTAACCGGCGTATTTAGTTTTGGGTCTGTATAAAACTAAAAAACAATAACAGTTCGTGATCACATTAATGTTTAAGTCAGTTTAAATGTAAATATATGGTCAATGTTTTTTTGCTACTGTCATAGTTTATCGTTAAGTCCGTTTAATTCTATTACTAGTTAACTTGCTCATTTGTATTTTCATTTAGAATGGCTTCTGTGCGATCAAAAAAAATATTGATTTATAATGAAGATAATGGCAGTCCTCCTCATAAAAAACTCAACCAGGTATGTAATAATTATATTGAAGGTACTTTATCTGCAGTTCCCTGTTTTTTTTACTTACCTTTTAATCACGTTTGTTTGCAGACAAATACTGTGTCTAATAATAGTAATAATAAAAGTATTGACGACAAGGTAACTAAAAATAAATTATTTTTTCTATTCATTTATTATTGACTGTAGTTTTCATTCATTCATTTTTGTGTTTACTTGCAGCTATTAGACAAATGTATTTAGACAACGTATTTTAGATGCATATTGGGAAATAGGAAAACAAGTGCAAACAAATTTGCTACCAAATTTTTATTCCGATTTCTATGATTCTATAATAGATGCTAAGTAATAGATTTAAAAGCGGTCTTCGATGTCTTGCGAAGGACTTTTACAAACTAATTAATTATGTATGATTATGATGAGGTGCAACTTTTTAACCCTTTCTTTTACTTGTCTACTATGATTATGACTACGACTAAGATGGCTGAATAATTTCTTAAGAAGTTAACCGAAAGAAGGAAGTTAGGTTAGGTAAGATATTTTTGTTTTGTTATTCATATTTTTATAATTGTAACTTTGATATACCTTAAGTTATTACCCTACAGAGACCCCTATTTTTGTGGTTCCTTTTAATCCTTAAATATATAGCTGTCATGTACCAGTTTACTAATATTTCATAAGAAATAAGATTGACTGATAATTTCATAAGAATTTTTTTGTCATTTATATTTTCATAAGCTTTTAGTTACCATAAAAACCAGCGCTATGGTACTATAAATTCAAGAAAATTTTCGTTCCATTTTTAAATTTAATTTTTTTTTAAATAATTATGTACCTTAGATAGGTAATAAAATAAACTAATTAGGAAAATTGTGATTCTTAACCGACCTATTATTTTCTAGAAATAAACATTAGACTTGTTCAGAGATGTTGATTTAACTTTTAATTAAAAAAACGGAATTTAAAATATCGTTTTTATCTTAGTAATAAATGGACCTAAGTAATTAAATATACAGTCTAATAATATTATGTTTTTCTATTACAAAAAGACCGAAGATAAAAACGTCGTAATTATGTTCAATTGTAAATAGACTTAAACCTAAGATGTACATTCAAGTAGTTTATGTTTTTTCTAGTTGAATGATTTAAAATAAATTAGGTCTGTATACTCTTTATCAAATTTTCCATGAATTAGTTTTAAAAAGACTTAAAACTGCAAAACCCATTTTAAAAACCTATAGTATTCGAAATAAATATTATATAACAAAAATTTTAACTTCACCTACAGCTTTGATGTATATACTGTTACAAAAATTAAACTTATATTGTACAACTTAAATAATGATGAATTTATAGCGAATTTAACAGCACATGTCCCTATTGTAAAGAGTTTTATACGATTTGCCAGAAAAGTTTTTTTTTATCGGGTCACTGTAATACTTAGCGTTCAAATTGTGACCAAAAGATTCGAAACCAAACCTCACAAATAACGCTTTGCCAAGCAGCGGGTTTAACCATTAAGCCACGGAGGCTACATTCATTAAATACAGTAATAAAGTATTATCTTTTAATGCAATGTTAACTAACTTCTTCTTGAGCCACTTTTTACTTCATGCCATTATCTTCTTTGATCATATCACTTCCCTTTTCAGCCATCATAAGAGTGGGTGCATTTGTGTTGCCTCGGACGATCTTCGGCATAGGAGACGCATCGACAACTCTCAAACGTTTCAAGCCATACACTCTAAATCTCGGATCTACAACAGCGTCCCTATCCCATTTCGGACCCATCTTACAGGTTCCAACTGGATGGTAGATAGTCGTTGTATAATGTGTGAGGATACAACCAAAGTAGTCGTATGTGCCCCAATCGTATTGTGTGCATCCTTGGAAACGCGTTCTGTTAAAATAGGCTCCAGAACGTTTAAAAGTTTCAGTGTCTTCCAATTTTACTACAAAATTTATACCAGCAATCAGATTATCCATATCTTCTTTTTGTGTAAAAAATCCAGGATATATCAACGGTGGTCCAAATATTGGATCAGTTTTATTTAGTAATATTATACCTCTGCTTCGAGGTGTAAGTAATAAAGAACGGATGCCTATACCATTGTAAAATGCTACTGGTAAAACACTACTGTGAAAGTAACTTATTGGATCAGCATAAAGGTCTGTAATTATTTCACCGATAAAGTGAAATTGTATGTTCGGGGCGTCGGTTTTACTCCCATTGCTATTAATAAAAGCGACGCTGTTGATCAAACTCGTTGTCGATAGAGGGCCATGTTTTGTCTCCGGCTGGTCGTAATAATTTTGTACCGCTTTTAAAATATTATTGTCGCTGATAATAGTTGAAGTTTTGTTAGATAGCGAAATAATTAAGGCGTTTGTGGTAACATGATCTTGTAAGTTATATCCAACTTTCAAATCTGCGATCACAGGAATATTGAGACTCTCTAATTCTTTTCGAGGACCTATACCACTTACTTTGAGCAGTCTTGGCGAATCGATAGATCCGGCGCTTAATATAACTTCTTTCTTTGCATAAACTCGAACAAATTTACCATCTTTGTAATATTCTATACCTCTAGCTTCCTTTCTTCGTGCATTGATAAGTATTTTTGTTGCCCGCGCTTTTGTTATTATTTGTAAGTTAGACCTCTTCCTTCGAATTGGTCTTACGAATGCAGTGTTTGCGGATTGTCGCTGTCCACCTTTTGAAGTCGAAAGATTTATATTAACGCCGAATTTACTTTCTAAGGCTAGATTTATATTTGGCAAACCCATTTCTTCAAAAGCTGAGACAATCAATTTTGTTTCTGTATCTACATAAGAATATCTTTCAACGTTTAACGAACCTTCGCTCTCATAATAAAAATTGTTTGGTGAGTTGTTAGGTTTTTTGATTGATTTTTCAAAATAAGGCAAAATCTGTAAAATATAAATTGAGATTTTTAAAAATGTATGTAAATTTAAACAAATTTTTTACGAACACTTATAAAACGTTTGTTTACTTCTCTATAACTCCAGCCATAGTTGCCGCTGGAAGCCCAACCATCATAATCATCTCTATTACCTCTCATGTATACCAAGTAATTTATTGCACTAGATCCACCCATGGTTTTACCTCTGAAAACCAATACTTTTACTATACTTGAACTACTTTTATATTTCTTTCATAACCGATTATCAGATTACTTTTAACCTTGCCCAAAAACAACTTCCTTCTGCTAGGCATGTCGATCTCTCAGGTTGTGTTTTATAAGCCCAATCAACGCTGGAGTGAGCTAATGCTGATGCTACATTTGGTATTGATGTTACATTGGGTTCTTCCTCGCCGGCTTCAAGAAGGAGTATCTAACAAATTAGTGCAATAATTATTACAAGTTGTAGACGAAATTTATTCTTCAAAAATGATGCAAGGTCACGTACTTGACAACACTATACAAATCAAAATTATTTTTATAATTCTACCCGCATGCAACGTTCAATAAATTAAATGTAAGGAAATGTACATTACGCTTTGTTTTTAAACACATGGTTGAAACGTTATTTTTGAATGCCATATTACTACGTTATGATTTAATAAATGAATAAATCTGTACTTACTTGCCAATTTTTCACTTCAGACAATCTATTCGCTAGCACGCACCCGGCAGATCCACCTCCAACAATAATAAAATCATAATATTTTCTAGGTTTGGTATTCACGTCCTTATTTGCAGATTGATATTTTTTACCATAATCATGAATTGATTTTAGCTTAAAGGATTCAAATTCCTCCGCTGGTTCTTCATCGACGGATTTTCCAAAAAGTTGTACTAATAACGACAAATACGAAAAACCTATTCTACATTGTGTTAAGTTTGCCTGCGTCGCCATACAAGTAGGTGCTATGTTTGGTGGCGCCCAAGTCATTTAAATCGAAGTTTTTAAGTACAGCTTTTGAAATAAATGTAAATTAATACACCTATGTAATTACCGCGCTAAGTTCTTATATTTTATGATATTCAATTCATGTATGTCTGAACTGTGTATTTATTAATATCAAATTTAAAAATCCATATTTTCCAACATTGACACAAGTGTTACTGATTTTTTTTTCATTAAGAGCACTTAATAACACGACTTTTTCTTGACATTAACTTACAATTAAACTCAAATCGCTAAGTCTTAATCAGTAAAACATAACCTGTCTTAAGTATGAATATTAATATAAGCCCTGTTAAAACATTATCTTACATGATAAATATTTTAAATAAATTAATAAGCTTTGCATATAAATGCAACATATTGAAGAAAGCAATTTATATTTTGAATTATCAAAGCGTTATTTATTAATTACTAGCTGACCCGCACCCACTTTGTTGGGTGGTAAATAGCCCATGTCACTGTTCATCCTTTTATTTAACTATCTCTAACTTAAATAACTGGTACCTTACTCATAGATCTAAACTCCCCTCCCGCACTCGCACCCCCGCCTTAGTGACGCCCACTTCGCAACGCAGAAATAGTAATATTTTAATTTCGCCATAACTTCAAAACCAAACGTCCAATTTTAATCTTTTAAATACCAAATATTATCTACATAAACTGTACTTAGTGATGAAATAATTTATTTTGATAAGGATTTATAGCATGAGTAAAATAAATGCGTTTAAATGTAGTCCAAAAAAAAATTAAGATTTTTAAATAAAAAAATGGTTGTTGTGCCTCACTCGACATAGATAGGTATAGTGTGTCGCGGACTTTTTTGTAGATATTTATAAGATCTCCAATTAATTAGAACATTTTATGCTTCTATCTTTTATAGTTTAGGCAGCGTACGCAAAATAAGTAACTTTTCTGGTTGATTTTTTACACTTTGTGTCCGAAAAACCCAAATATTTTAAGGAACCCTATTTTTTTCCAAAATAAAATTTTGCCTATGTTACTCGTGGAGAATGTAGCTTTCGAATGGTGAAAGAATTTTTAAAAACGGTCCAGTAGTTTTTGAGCCTATTCATTACAACCAAACAAACAAAGTTTTCCTTTATAATATTAGTGAGATAAAGACATAAAATGGTGGTGGCATGGCGTACCATGGCGTTCCGTAAAAAAGTAGGACGATTTTAAACTTTCTTTTTATGCTGGGAAATCATGGTCACCCTACTATATGTTTTTCGTACCCTGATTGAAAAGAGCCTAATTGGATAGACCGCACCTTTCGCAATCCAGTCGGTGTAACCATAAAGTGAACAAAACGTTGTCAACCAATTGGATTTCATTAATTAACATAGTGTCAGCGTTTTGCAATCGGATCCTAATACTAATTCGGATTTTAAAGGAATTTTCGACTTAATTAAAAAAAGACAATAAATCTACAATAATAATAATATAATTAAAAAAACTATGACATCTATGTGGTGTTATATTATAAACTTAAAAAAAATACAAGTTATATACGTCGGAGAATTATTATTTTACTTTGACTTCAGAATAGTGAGGATTATACTTTCTGAGGATTATTCTTTGTGTGACGTTTAACTGTCAGAGTTAACAATCTGTCAAGTCAAGTAACCTGTCACAGTCAGTTGAGCAACTATTTCCCTTTAGGCACATGAACTCTCAACTCACTTGCGTTCAAAATGTCGCTGACACATTTTGACAATGCGCCGGGTGTGCGCACTGTCAACTAACTAAGAGTGAACTATAATGATTCTTTTAATTTAATTATATAGCAGTCCTATATTTAAAATATATACGTCTCGCTATTTATAAATTTCCACTGCGCTATACGAATGCCATTTTCAATAAAATGTTTCGAGGCATTAGTTATTTCAATAACGTCAAATACAAATTCCGTTTATTCCTCTTAAAGCCACTAACAAGTTTTCCATTCACTATGTTTTGCGGTATAGACTTTCGGAGATCGATTGATACTTTTAATTAAAGGGCAAAGTTGAAGCGCGGTTTTATATTGCAATTATTTTTTAGTTGGTTAACAAGAATTTCGTAAATAAAAGAATATTATTTATATGAACATTTTTAATATTGACATGTTAAGGAATATAATAGTTAATTTCAAAGTTTAAGGTGATGGGCTCTTTGGTGTAAAGGTGTGGCTAATAATCAATGGATCGTGAGTTCGTTTCTAATATATATAGTAAGGAATACCTTACTGGAAAGGTATAAAACCGGCGCGCCGCTCCGACGGACGGACGGTTGTCATACGTCGAGGGAATATCGTTCAAAGACTCTAAGTGTCCGTGTTTAAGTGGGTAGATTTGAAATAGTAGTTATTTTTTTTATCAAATTACCTAAATATATTTTTTTTCGTAGTATTAGTAAAATTGGATTTGTGGATTTCCAAATATCCAAAGCCAAAACAGATCGGCGCATCTTGTTTAGATAATACATGGCTGGGGTGTTTCACCTATTGTCTGTTCTCTACCATAAAAAATACTATTGGTGAGAATAGAACTACACTACTTCGAACATGCAAACAAAATACAGCTTCTGTATTCTGTGCATTGTACCCCCAGTGTAACATGGTAGCTCTCTTATTATGAAGGTTAACCACTGTTACGAGCTCCAGCTATTGTGAGCCATTTTCTGGCTGGATTAAAAAAAATACTATCTTTAACATCAACGTAATTTTTTCGTCGGTACATGAAAGAGTACAACAATGGTGCTAATATTACTTAAAGGACAATCAAGCAACCTTTTATTAAAAAGAACTTTAAAATTTAATTATCATTGTATACAACATTATACCTTATATCGGTAACATTGGGATGAAAATCGAATAAACGGATACAAAACAAAGCTCTTTATATAGCAAAGTATCTAATGAAAGAAGACCACATGTAGCGTTGCAAATTGCTTTTCGACGACACACTTCATTAGATGTATAGTTAGTAAGTTATGTAATAAATAACTTTCATTCGTCAAGGGATATTTATATTAAAAGGAGGAAAGTTATATTTATTTTGCAGATCCTATAGCAAAGTAATAATATTATAATTTCATTATTTAAATTCAAGTATAAAACAGCGTCGATTGTTGTTAAAGAAATTCCGATACATTTATACTAATATTATAAAGCTGATGAGTTTGTTTGTTTAAACGCCCTAATGTCAGAAACTACTGGTTCGAATTGAAAAATTTGTGTTATTTGGTCCATTTATCGAAGAAGTCTATAAAACACCAAGCTGCGACCGATAGGAGAAGATAAACAAAGGGAAATGTAGAAAAAACGTGGAAAATCTTTGAGGGCTTCGGTAGTGAGCGCTGCAAAAACGATTCAAGAAACCAAAAAATAGGTATGATAGAATAAAAGATCTTTCTTTAAATGAGCTAAAAAATATCAGTGACAGTAATTGTCTATCTTTTAAAATTAACTCGCAAGAACGATGAGTCTTATAATCTGAGGAGGTAGTTTGTAAAAATAAATGATTTGAAGCCCAAAATACCTATTCCACGCGTACGAAGTCGCGGGCAAATTCGTTTTATAAATTGTAAACTGTAGAGGTAAATTGGTAAATTGTAGAGTAATGTTTCATATTTAAACAACATTGACAAGGTAAGATTGAACAAGTAAATATAACTCTCCGAATTAATACAACAATATTTTTAGCCCTAATTATTTCGTTTTGCAGCGAATAAAATGAGAGGCGGCTTTTCAGAAAACCCATTTAATTATTTTCCGAGTGCGCTTTACAAACATCAAACTAGGTTTGAAATATACAATGTTTGATCTTGACATTGAATTGGAGGGCGCGGATGAGTGGCCATCCGCTATCCAAAACGATTAAATCTCGATGTCGCTAAAGAATTACTATTAATTAAATAATCCATTCTCCATACAGTCTCAGGCCCAAATGGACCATAAAAATATAGTAGTGCGTGAGAGGTAGATGTATAGGTTATAAAATTAGGTTGAAAAAATTCGACGATGACGTGTACGGTAGAAGTTAGAGTAACAGCACGAATTACTGTGAATATCGCTTCAAAACTTGCCTTTATCGTAGTTTTTTTTATCTCAAATTGATTTTTCATTTAGTAAAAGTGTATTCATACCTGAATCTTTTCCTTAGGCTTATAACTTCTTCAGTTGAAATCAGTTGTCAAATAGGTAATAAAACCCTATAAGTTAAAGTAAAACACTTTGAATATACATACATTTGTACTTCCTTATAAAACAATTATTAATGTTAACTGTGGTGCAACTTAAAAGCGGGGTCCTGTCATTTATTTACGTTTTTACAAAGAATCATTAATCTATTAGCACATACCCTTTTTCTAATTTAATATTGAGAATTGTGTAAGGGTAGTAGTGCACAGAAAACTTTTAACGATTTAAAACGCGAAATAACGTACAGTAATAAAAAAACTGTAAACAAGGTATCTCGCGTATTAAACCGTTAAGTGTTTAATTTAATAGATTAACAGAGTTGATTTGTTGCCTTCATTTTGTAATCCTATTTTTAAGATAAGTCTGGGATTTCTATTATATTGCTAATGCCTGTTACAGTTCTCGTTCTTGGTGTGTACTCGGCGTTAAGCTAGCAGCGCATCAAGTATAATAGTATTGTGTTTTGTTATAGTTCGGGGCTTTTCTCGTAAAAACTTATCAACTTCGACTTTTAGAAGAATCGTAAAAAGTTTTTTTATCGAGCTTCACCTATAACGTTCTTTGTACGAAAGGAAACTATTCAAATGAGTATCAGAAATGTTGGTATTTATTGTACAGGAGGAGGAGGAGGACAGACAAGACAAATTTATTATAAATATAAATTGTGTAAGGCTTTTCACTGCCATCGTTCAGCATATCATTGTTTTTCGGGCAGTTGAGAGGGTTCTCGATGTTTCGCCACCACGTGCGGACGGCATCATCGAAGAATTATTAATTCTTCCAGCCATCGAGGGGTGATCAT